GTTTGCTTTTCCTGCATAATCTGTTTTCTTCAAGTTGATTATTTAAGTTTGTTATTTTTAGCTCCTGACTTTGACTTTTCTGAAACGTTTGTTGATTAGTGCCATACACTAATGTGAGAGTGGGCTACTAAAAAATTTGCCGGAAGCTCTGTGCATGTGAATGCAACTTGCTCATTCTAGGCTTCACTGCAGGGCTGAGGATTTTTCACATTTCCTGATGTCAGTATCTTCGGGTGATTTTACTTTTTTTTTTTTTTCTTTTTATGGTAATCTGATTTTTTTCAGAGGAGACATTTCAGTATCCTGCCTAGAGGATATATGCCTGGCTGATTCAAAATGTTCTTGGAGCTAGAGTTGTCAATTCCTGAACGTTTTGGTTTCATGATAATCAATATGTCTTTGCTTTCTCATTGCTGGCTTAGGATTCAGCTTTATTTGGTCTGCTCAGTTATTTTTTCATCTGCTTTCAAAGTCCTAAAGGTTGTTGTTTTCAAAATTTTTTTTGTTTTTGTGGGTTGAAACAAAATTGTGGTAATTCATTTATGATTTTCTATTTTTCTTTTTTTGACCCTAACGTGGTAAATATTTTCCTAGGGTATTAAAATTTTTGGATAAATATAATTTTAAAGCGCTGCATAAGTTATTATTTGGGCATACCACAATTTACTTAAGTGTTTTTTAAAGATATTGCTTGTAATGTTAAACTTTTATAAGTGATGCTTGCTATATGATGAGCAGCTGAAGGAAATTTCAAAAAATAATTCAAAACCTTTTGGTGCAATGGTAGCATAATTTGGATGAATACTTAGCTTCTCAAGGTTACAGACTTAAGTTGTGTTTGAATTTGCATGATATGACATGAATTTGTTTTTAGAAAATCAGTCATAGTGTCTTACAGTCATTCTTACAATCGTAGGTCATCTGAAATAATATCATTATGTTCTGGTTAGACAAATTTGAGTCTGTGTAATCCTGAGTGAAGACAAGTGGATAATGATAAATGTAAGTTGACTAGTAATTTGCTAGAATGGTGAGGATTTTCAGAATTGTTTAATGTAATGAATATATTATGAAGACATTAAGGAAAAAAAGCTAGGAAACACAAGCAATTTTTAGATGTTTAAAAATCTGCCCTGTTTTTTTCCAGTATCTTTAACCTTTCTCTCTATTGTAGATACTCTTTCATCTATACTCCTCTCCCTGTTTCTCTTTTACTACCTCTCCTGCTTCTCTTCCCCAACCCTTCCCGCTACCTCCTCATTTTTTAATAAGAGTATTGACTATGCCAGGAAGTGCATTAGGTTTGGGTGGGGAGAGGAGGTCAGCATATACAGACCCTGTAGTCTTGAAGTTCATGTGTCTTAATGGGAAAAGATAGATATTAAATAATCATGCGAAAGATTATATAGTTATAAACTCCGTGTTATATGGAGTTTGAAGAAGTGACATTTAAGCTGAATCCCAAGTCAGTCAAATAACAAATATTTATTGTGTACTTACTACATGCCAGGTACTGTTTTCTTGGCACTTGGGATACAGATTTATGTTGGACATAGTCCATGCCTTCAAAAATCCTGTGTTACAGTGGCAGCAGGAAGACAGTAATCATCCAACAAAATAAATAACTTCAGATAACGATACTAGTGAAAAATGCTGTGAAGCAAATAAAAAATGATAATATGATAAAGATTGGTAATGTTAAGGCCACTCTAAGGAGATACTGAAATGATACTTGAATGTTTAGAAGGAGAAAGCCATAGGATAATCTGAGTAGAGAATGTTATAAGTAGAAGGAATATCTAGTGCAAAAGCCCTGAGAAGAGGACCTTGTAAGTTAAAAAGAATGAGAAAAAAGACTGCTATGACTGTGCATAATAAAGATGAGTTGGGGAAGAATGGAGGAAAACAGTTCAGAGAGGTAGGGAGGGCCCATACCATGTAAGTGCTTGTAGGCCTTGTTAAGAAGTCGATTTTGTTTTGTTTATAATGGGAAGCTATTGGAGAACGAGAAGAGACATGAATTGATTTACACTTTTAATGAGTTGCTTTGGCTATGTACAGAGGATGGATTTTAGAGAGGAAAGAGCAAAAGTAGAGAGACAGGTTAATTTGCGTTTTAGGAGGGACATAATAATTGATGGAATTTGTTGTATATTGTAGAGGTAAAGTTGACATATTGGATGTCTGTAGATATTAGATAATTCCTGGGATGTTTTCTTTTCCTTGAGCAACTTGGTAGATAATGGTACCATTCAATTATATGGGAAGACTTGGAGAGGATCAGATTAGGGGAAATTGGTAGTTCTGTTTTGGCTGTGGTAACTTTGAGATGCCTATTAGATGTGTAAGAAGTTGAATATAAATTGCTGGCAGTCAGGGAGCAGTTGGGGCCATAGTGTCAACTCTGTGAGTATTCCTGACATCCCCAGTCAGAGTAATTCATTTCTTTTTGTGTTCCCATAGCGTCTTTAATCCCATAGATGTTTTTTTTTTTTTTCATAGCATTTATTATATTGCTCTGCATTGTATTGTGTGTCTGTTTTTTCCTAAAGTCTATGATTCTGTTGTGTTTCTCTCTGTAGTCTCAGCTTCTGGTATGTAATAGATATTTAATAAATGTTTGAATGAATCATGTTCACCTCGTCTGTCACCAGATCCTGTCAGTTTGGCCTGTCTACTCCCATGGCCTTAGTGCTAATCCTCATCATCTCTCATTAAGATTGGTGCATTTTAAGTGGATTTTTTAAAGCAGCAGAACTCATTTTCAAATAAACTCAATGTAAAAGCCTAATTATATGAAGGTATCAATTAGAGATTGGGTTGGGCACTATTAATAAAAGATCTGACTACATTGACTTAAGTACAAGAAAAGGGTTTCTTTTTTCACACAGTGATTAGTTGGGAGATAGATGATTTCTGGAACTGAATCAGTGGTTCAAATAATATCAGTCAAGTTGTCTGAGATTCTCATGGCCTTTGCCTCATGGGGAAGGAGAGTGATACTGGATTTAAATGGAGCAGGGGCAGTAGACTTTACATAGGGCATAAAATATATGATGGTATTTAAGTGTAGGGAAAATTAGTTTGTTTAAATTTAATAATTTGATGATGATTTGAAGATAGGTGAGTATAAAAGCAAAGGAGCATAAACAAGACATTTCACTAGTCTAGAGAAGCACAGCTGGACCACACTGAGAGGGTTTGGTAAGAGCAGAAGGGGTGGGCAAATCTTGGAGAAGTTATGGAGTAAGCAGATACCTGGTTTGAAAGTTAATATAAAGGAGGGGGGAAGAGGTATTATGGAGACAGATGACTGACTTCAAGCTTAGAGGACTACTGAACTGGCAGAATAGTGGTACTATTAATGGTGACGGGAACCCAGGGGAGAAATGGTACGGATGTGCAGTAGCAGATTTTTCACATTTGTGCTACAGCCACTCAGTCTGAAAAGAAAATGCTCAGAATGAATAAAATAGCCACTGATTGTATTTTCTTAGGTAAGAATAGTGAACACAGAAGGGGAAAATTCTTCGAGGCCTTTCTTGAACTCTGAAACATGAAGTCATAACCGAGTATATCAGACTCTTGGACTATTTGTGGTGATCTGGGGGAATTTACGAAAGTCTCAAAAGAGTTCCAGTTTATTGGGCTTCTGAGTGGCATTAATGTGAACTTTTTAATAGTGGGAACATGTTCATCCCACAGTTCATCTTGGTTGGTGCCTTTCACCTGATGCTCTTCTAAAATAGGTTAATTTGAATAAATATTCTGCAACCAAATATTCTTTGTATTTGCTTCAAATCAAATGTTAAAAACTTATTTTAACATCTTAAGCACATTACGCTTGAGTGTTCTATTAAACAAGCTAATAACCTTTTTTTTTAAGGTACAGCAGGGAAGAACTGGAAATTCAGAGAAAGAAACAGCACTTCCATCTACAAAAGCTGAATTTACTTCTCCTCCTTCTTTGTTCAAGACTGGACTCCCACCAAGCAGGTTAGTTAGACAGTTGTATCTCAATTATTGTAAGGCATTGGTATTTTTACGTTGTAATTTTGCTGTATTAAGTATAAAAGCTCTGAATGTTCTGCCAAAAAAACTGGAACATTCGACCTTGTACAAAATGAATTCTTTGTGAGAAACTCTTCTGGGTGCTGTTCCATCTAAAAACCCTAGGTAAACAAAAAATGAAGCACGGTATATAGTTTTGCATATGTATAAAGAGGCCAACAATCTTACCTTCGGGAGAGGTGGTAACAACAATGATCTTGCTGTTTGCTGTGTTTATTATTCTCGCATAAAGAATTTTGAACTTCCTAAGTCTAGCTCTGTTGGCCTAAATGTGTTTCGCTGATTTTAATGAAGAGGTTATAGAAATTTCATCCTGGAAAATCTTTCAAATTGAAACCATTTTCTTTTCTCTCTTTGGTTTGGTGTAGTAACACCTAATTTTGTGTTCCACGAGGTACCAGATGTAATAGGCAAATATGCTGGGAAATGTCCTTTTTATTTAAATGTGACAAATGGTTACCCTATTACCCCATCACCAGGAATATGGTAAAGGATAGACTGAGACTAGGAATGTTCGATGTCAACAGTTTAATCTTGGGTTAGATAAAGATGACAAGACTGGGCCTGAAACAAGTCCATAACCCAACTATTACTAGTTCTCAGCCAGGTCATTTACCTTTTGTGTTACTTGTTTAAATTTACTTTATACAGTTTTCTGTTTTCGTTCTATAATTTTGTATTGTTTTAAGAGATTATATTTTATGAAATACTAATGCAGGAAGAGACTTTGGGAACATCTGGTTTAGTCCTAACATAAAGATTCTTGAAGTTTTCAGCCAAAATTAAATGTCATAAAACGATCTGGGATTTTTATGTATTTTTGTAGACATACCCAAATGTGATTATTTAAACTAAATGTAGTCTTGTAAAATGTTGGTTAAAGAACTTGATAGCTAAGGAATATTGATCCTTTTAATAAGTAGTAGTCTTTTGGTTTTTACATTTTTTAAGAGGTCAATTTGTATTCATTGAATTTATAGTATTCTACAGTATAGAGTGGTATTAAAACTTGCACTCTGGAGTCAGGTTTC